CATTTCCACCCTTTTTATCCTATCAGGATATCAGAGCGATCTTATAAAACTATTATATCGTCAACGGGCCTTGACGCGTGTGCGAATCAAGTTAATCTAATCTAGAAATCGATATGAATGACGTTCAAAGATTTCTTTATACACAAACAAATATAGACTATAAGTTAATGAAAACGTGTTAAAAAAAAGTCCACATTGACCAGCGACTTTGCTCGTGATACTGTTTTTTGTTTTTAATACGCTTTTATTAGCTTCAGACGTATGTATGTTTGTAACGGAATTTTTGAACATGATTTTGACCCTAATTTTGAACCCCTTTAAAAGGTCGGAATAATTCTAAATTTGGTATACTTATTAAGGATATTAAGCATTCTTTGAATTTCAATTATTCCAATTTGTCATCGATCCTTAATAAGTAACTACACTAAATTTCGAGTTAATCCGACGTTTTGAAAGGGGTCAAAATCATGTTCAAAGATTCCGTTACAAACATACATACGCCTGAAGCTAATAAAAGCGTATTAATAGTCCTCATTAACCAGCGACTTTGCCCATGTTACTGTTTCTGTTTTTTACGTAATTAGGTCCACCTAGGTAGAAGCGGCTTGACTATCTCCTTAGCCTTGCTGATGACCCCTCACCATAATAATATGCTCGTTTACCTATGATGACAAAATTATAAAACTCGCTGTAATTTTCTCTTTTTTTTCCTACCCATTCACTGGTAGCCTAGGGAGCTATTCCGGCCACGCCCTCACGGGTATTTTTTTCCTACCTATGCTGATAGCCTTGAGAGGCTATTTCAGCTTCTCCTTGACGTGTAGGTGAGTAGTACCACTGGCCGTAGCAAGAGCAGCCTAACACCGGATCGTAAACGCGACCCACTGAGAAGATCCGGCGAGAAACTCAGTGGGCTGTGTCTTTGGGTTATTTTACTCGTCGAGCCCTTCGTCGAAAGCGACTGATTCGGACGAGGACGGTGACCGGTGCTTGAGGTCTGACGGGTAGGTGAGCTCACGCGCTCACGCCGCTAATTACCTATCCGACCCAGACGACGGGGCAACACAAAGCCGGCGTCGCCAGAAACATGTCTGATCCCCCGGATCCACTCTCGCTGCTTTTATATCCCTCAAGCACCGGTCAATATCCTCGTCGAACGTCTACAAGCGAACTAGCCCATAGACACAGCCCACTGAGTTTCTCGCCAGATCTTCTCAGTGCGCCGCGATTCCGATTCAGTAGTAGATTCATTTTCAATCGCGAGAGCAGCTGCTCTTGAGTTGTGATGTCTCCTTTGGGGGCGCTCGGGCAGCTGTTAGCAAATCCCACCCGTCCTAGCTGAGCCTTTGCTCGTCCTGGTGAAACTGAAAAGTCCTCCGGGCCACCAGTAACCCCTCATTCATAAAAAAAGGAAGGCGAGAAGGGAATTTCTGAATTCCATTTTTTTTTTTTGCTTCATTAAAGTTCTGATTTGTTGGTATTGCTTGCTTAAATACTAGATTGCAATCTATTGTTATAAAAACAGTAAATACCATATAAAATATATTTATTAATATATCATATCGAACACGAGGAACGTAACAGAAATACACATAATATCTTAACGATTATTAAGTACATTCAAAATTCAAAGATTGTTTGAAAACAATTTTACTATAATTTTAATTATAATATTATTATAATATAATTTACATTACCTTCGAAACTTGAGTGACGAGGCCCAAATTTAAGACTGTATTATAATAATAATAAAAATAATAATTTATTTACGTTCTCTCTCAAATAGACCTCTTATTTTAAATTTTATATACATATCATTTATAATTATTATATTAAATTTCTTTACATTATTATTTATTGCTTTCACGGCATGCTTTCAATTCATTTTGCCATAAATTTCTACGAACCGACTCCAATAAGACAGGGTTTACCGTTTGAATGATTTGATTTGTTGATTTACACATTTGGAAGACTTTTAAATTATATTGAAAACTGGATTGTTTTCTTTCACAGTACCGCACTTCAATAAAAAATTTTTTAATCTTCTTGAAATCGGTTCCGTAATACGAGATCCAAATATTAATTATATTAACAAAAAAAAATTATGATAATTATGTTATTATTATCACCAATTTTCTTATCAACTAATTATATGTATACAAATAATATATTAGAATATAATAATATAGTAAGGTTTACCGTGAACGTAGTGATGGACTTAAAAAAAAAACGAAAAGATATTTGGGCAAAACACTAAATGTTCGGTACATAAAATTTTATTTACACTTAATATTATGTACTTTAAAAAATTTAAAATTAAAAACGCTTATATAGCAAGCAGAACTAAAAATTATGTATTAAATTCATCGTTTTTTTTTTCATCCCATCGATACAGTTCAGAATATTAGAGCGAAATTATAAAATTGTTTTATAAAAACATATTTAAAACGCCTTAGTCTAGTTTGGGCCTTGCGATTGACGTAACTAAGTTTAATTTTAATTTAGGATAAAGTTACAACATTTAGACCGTATTAATAAGATTTGTATATTATTATCATACTGAACATTTACTATCTTGAAATTTTCACCATTTGTCCAGTCACTACAGGTACAAAATAAAGCGATTAAAAATCGTTTTAGATACGGTGTCAACGGTCTCGTGCGACGCCGACAAGCTACCGTCGATGTACATTGCGGTTCCACGAAATTAAAAAAAATCGGTTGTCTGTAAAGTCGGTTTACTGACGATAGTTGAACGTAACAACGCCATATGAAAATACTGATGGAATGGTTTCATTTTGTCAACGCAATTATCGTTGCTATAAACAATTGACACCACATTCTCTTTTCACTGAACTTCATACTTGACGAAAACATGTAAATGTATTATTGTATAGCAGCTGTCCACGCGGATGCATCGCTCACTCAAGTAGGAGAGAGACAGATGTCGAAAGCTGCCGAACGCGGAGGCCGCTTGTGCCTCTTTGTCGCTCGTTGCGCGCTCTCGCTTGCACTTCAAGCCTTAAATGGAACGCCTCAGAGTGAGGTAACGCCGCATGAGTCATGTTTTTTCGTGCGGGCAGCCGGCTCCATCGAATTATAAGACGTTGTCACGTCAAAACACATGTGGCACTCGGGGACTGCCGCGGTAAAGCTATTGCATAACATTTTTTATCAACTTATGCAATTGTAATTAGACAATAGAGTAATTTAATATTAACACAATAATAAAATAAGACCACGCTATATTTATAAACATTAACAAAAGCAATACATTAACTGTCCCCTTCACACTTCACACGTTAGGTTTTATTTTCGTTACGAAATTTCTTAATTCGGTCGCCGCGCGCAAAGCCCGCGACAAAAGCTATGCAATAGCTTAAAAAGAAAATTATAGAAATTATATTTGCTTATTTTAACATATAATCGTTACCTTACAACAGGATTAATACCGAGGGATGAAAGGTTATTTGGTTTAAGCGACGTTTCGCTTAATACGAGACATTACATTACAAGAATAAATTAAAGGTCTGTATTATTTAGTATTAGCATCAATAATTAGATGTTTTTAATTGAAATTCAATTATGTTTACCCTATTTCAAATAAATTATTAAGTTTTTTTATCGTGATATTTTTTCTAGTAATCTTTAAATAGCTCTTCTGTAAAGTTCCAAAAATGTCGCTTAAACCAAATCGCTTTTCGCCCCTCAATGTGGAGGCTTCATTACACAGACCACCGTCAAAATGACAGTTGGGGATTTTCATTATTTATTTGTTTTTACTGTTTCAGATGGATCACAGCCTCGAGGCCCATCTGGAGTTAAGTGGTTACCAGAGTTCATAGACATGAGAACTTGGAGGAATGTAGAGCTTTCGGTTGTATTGTATGCTGTGCTTTACGTCAAAAATAAGCACACTAGAAAAAGGGGGGCTGAAAAATCGGCCAAGTTTAATAAAGACCTATTTGCTTAATTGCATTTTTATTTTTATTGAAGGTATACTTCTTTAGGCGCGTTATGAAAAATTGATGAGAGTGAAATTTTACGATGCGCGTGCACCGTGACACAAAATTAACAGAATGAAGTTGCCCACTAAATCGCTCATTACAATACGACCGACGTAACTTAGCGAATCTCAATATAGCCGCAGGTGAACTTTCCGAACCGTACCGAGAATTACCGAATTTATACGATGTCAAGAAAAGGGATGTCCAATATGCGTGTTTGAGGATGTTGTTTAATCGATTTTTTTTCAAATTGATTAAAATTGAAATAAAAAAAAAGAAATAAATTTAATAAAAACAAAATATGTATAACTTCTTACGCGCGTACATAAGTACACGCACCCTTTTTTTTTCTAAACGCACGCCTGTATAACTGCTGTTTAGATATTCCCACCAGGGCTTCTAAATACAAGTTTCAGTTCAATATTAATCCACATCTAGTTCCTGTATATTGTTTTAACAAAAGAAAAGAAGCGGATCGATACAGTTTGACGAGGAATCTGGAATGTGTGTGTTGTTGGATCTTCAGTGAATCGAGACTAATATTAATTAAAATGTCCCAGACAAAGTTATAATTTCTTTTAAATATTTAATTTTAGTAATCTAATTTGACATTGTTTTATTATTGGCAGTGTGATGTCTTTAATGTGATGTTTTAATCCTACCATTCTCAAAGCATTCAAGATCAACTATTTACAGAACACTTTGGAAAGTATGATTTCTTCAAGCAACAAAAGTATTATGTCAGGGCTTTAGTTTTGATCAAATCCGTCTTAGATTCAGAGTTTCAATTTGCATTTTACAACGCACTTACTTTATGTATATGAAAAGTAATTGTTATATTTTAGCCATCAATTTGTTTTATTTTACCCTTTTTAAATAAAACAATTTAAAAAAATGTCAATATTTTAAATTTGAATTTAACATACTTAACATATTCTAGGAATTCAATTTTATTAAACAATTTCTTATGATGCAATTTTTTTTAAATCTTTGAATAAGATAAATGTTTTGAAATTAAAATTAAAATTTAATGTTGGCAACTTATTTGTTTCAAAATTAAATTCCAATATTTATTCATGGTATGAAATTTATACCATTCTAAAATAATTTCCAGTATCAATGATTACCATTAACACCATTACTTGATAATTCCTGTGGACTCTTCAAATGGAATGGACCAGCGGTAAACACTTTACCGTTAACAATGCTGTCCAAATTCTCGCCCCCGTAGGACAATAACGGAGAGATTTCTATATCAGCATCGTCTGCCACCTCTCCACCAGCTTGTCTAATGTATTTTTTATGGAGCTGAAGCAAATCTTCTCGGGCAGTCGAAGGACAGTCTTTTTTGGCTGTGTCAGCATTCTTTAAGGCTGAAAACTCAGTGTCTCGAGCCACCTCTAAGCAAATGAAATTCTCAGCAAACTCAAAAACATCAAAAATAAATTTCTCCATCTTAATACCGTTTGGTTCATTCGGTTTCTGCCGCACACCATTCTCATCTATATACGGTATTTTCTTTTTGGCTATATGCAATTTTAGCTTTGTCTCAAAGTTTGATATTTTTCTTAAGAAATCAGCTGAAAAATAATGATTACAGATGTTTCCTGCTGAGAATGTGAGACGACCATCTGGATTACGTCTTTCAGATGCCTCGTCTGTGAGTTCGGAGTACTCCACTACCTTGTAGTGTCCATTCACTCTGCAGACGACACCAACAGGCTCACTGGGACTAGATTTCTGAACGACTTTTGCAGCACAATCAGCATTTTTAGATTTACAGTAACCAATAAATACCGGATCTGCAACCTTTATAAGTATGTTGTCAACTGAATGAGCATGAAGATGTTGGATTCCTCTTACTGAGATATCGTCCAATATTCCCTGGGTTTTTAATGCTCGATACAGACCTCCATTACCATCAGGGGCAGCAGACAAATGATATTTCTCATCCAAGAATATTTTCCCTTCAAAATCAAAGCAAGGTAATGTGCCTTGCTCAAAGAAAACCACATCGTTTTCATTCAAACCAAAGTATGAGTGACTTTTGAAATAATTTGCAGTAGGGGCTTTCGTGTGTTCAGAAGTCATAATATACCATGTTATTTTACCTTCGTTTCCATATTTTTCGGCAGCCATCTGCTGAACTCGCAGGATCCTCTCGGCTTGTATCTGGAACAAGGTTTTTCTTGATGGCAATCCCACATCGTACATTCCCTTTGGGTGGCCGAAACCGAGCCGCGTCGCCTGACCTCCAGCTAACAAGAGCACACCAACTTTCCCATTGCATATTTCTTTAAATCCGATATTTTCGTATTCTTCAATCTTATCGGGCGTCAAGTTCGGTACAGACTCATAGTGACTATCCGGTATTGGTTTCAAGTCGTCGTCTAATTTTTCTAATATTTTTTTCGTAGATTCAATTGCCCGCGAAAATGTTGCATGCACTTCCGTCAAGTCAAGTTTTAGAATTTCGTCCGACAGCTGTTTCCGCTGTTCCTCACTTAATACCGACCAGTATTTAATTAAGTGTTCTTGACCATGATCTTTTAGGTTTCGTAATAATGTTTCATACATTTTTTCACTCCGCGATTTGTTTACAAACAAATTTAAACGCTCGTCGACCGTATACGACGATTAGAAAGCGTGAACTGGCCCATTGCCCGGCAGTTGTACTAAGACATTTTCACTGTTCTCCCTCCACAACAGAAACTAGAAACACGTCGGCGCCCGGCGGTAGCTAGTATTTGACATTTGCTTTTGTTTACATTGTTTATTACGATGGAAAATGTCACAATAAAGATAGGATCCAAAAAAGTAGCATACATTGCGTAGTTATCCGCAGAAAATGAATATAATTTGTCAGCGAAAGAGCAATGTATCAATTTGATGAATAGTATCAATCAAAATTCGTTCAGAAATAGATTTTTTGTTTTTATAAGCTATGGCACGAAATTTTTAAATATTATGTCCGAGTTGGAACAAAATATACATGAATACATTTTCGCCTTAAATCACCCAATGCCACAACCTCAAACACTAACGACACACAAACTAAAATGAAGGTCGTTGCTGATCCGTAGCAATAGTCTGTTAATAGTCAAAAAAATTGTATTCTACTGGTGCTCAGCTTTGAATGAGGACTAAACTGCATGGCACTTACAACGGTTGCCCCACCCTTCAAACCGAAACGCATTACTGCTTCACGACAGGCAGTGTGGTTGTACCTACCCGTGCAGACTCACAAGACGTCCGATCACCAGTAATTATGCAAATTATAATTTTATGGATTTGATTTTTATTACACGATGTTACTCATTCACCGTGGAAGTCAATCGTGAACATTTGCTAAATACGTATTCCTTTAGAAAAATTGGTACCCGCTTGGGATTCGCATACCGGTGCGGTGCATCGCTCAACACGAATTCACCGGACGTCTTATCCTTTAGGCCACGACGAACTCGTTAATGAATTCTAACTTAATCTAAGCGTTAGAATTCGTCCAGTAAAATTATAAAATATTTAGAAACAAGTTTAAGTTTTGTTTTTGTATGTAAAAGTCTTATTCAACGGTATTTTGTGTCGCGTACTATGGCTAATCTATTGTAAGTTAACGTAATCTATAAAACAGTAATATGTCAAACGCGAATGCCACAGTTATTGCAATCTTATATTCGCTTATATTCATTTTTACAATATTGTATTTATCTTGTAATTCCTTCGTAACTATCGTCAGAAGTTTCTTCAATTTCATTTTTGGTATAAATATGGTCGAAAACTCTCATAAGCGAAAGCGAACAGCTTCTGACGATCATAACCAAACAGTATCGCTGAGGGGTCTTATAAATGCAAATTGGCAAAAATTACTAGCGAGTAATCTTCTTATGGATCACAAAGAGGAAAAACATGCACCAAAGGAGCAGTACACAGGTAAATTCCGTAGAAACAGGAAAACTGAACAGAAAATAAACAAAAGCAAAGACTTGCAGCCAACCGTTCGGAAATTTGAAACTTTGAATTTAGAACCTGACCAGGCAGACGGACATGAAGATGATATAGCACTTAATGACAGGAAACAAGCTAAAAACAAAATAACCAAGTTCATTGCTATGGACTGCGAAATGGTAGGAATAGGTTATGATGGAAATGATCACATGTTAGCCAGAGTATCTTTAGTCAATAAATTTGGTGACTGCATATACGACAAGTTTGTGAAGCCCCGTGAAGAAGTTAAAGATTATCGTACAATAGTCAGCGGGATACGCAAAGAGGATCTAATTAATGGTGAAGATTTTTCAATTGTTCAAAAAGAAGTAGCAGACGTTATTAGAGGTAAAATATTAGTTGGACACTCATTGAAAAATGATCTAAATGTTCTGTTTTTGTCACATCCCAAACGAAATATCCGGGACACATCTAAGTACAAACCATTCAAAAAGGTGAGAAATATTAATTACTTAAGTAAAATGCACATTTTTAAACTACCTTCAATGTAGTTGTTATTATTTTTTTTTTTTTTTTTTTTTTTATTGCTTAGATGTATGGACGAGCTCACAGCCCACCTGATGTTAAGTGGTTACTGGAGCCCATAGACATCTACAACGTAAATGCGCCACCCACCTCGAGATATAAGTTCTAAGGTCTCAGTATAGTTACGACGGCTACCCCACCCTTCGAACCGAAACGCATTACTGCTTCACGGCGGAAATAGGCGGGGTGGTGGTGCCTACCCGTGCGGATTCCCAAGAGGTCCTACCACCAGTGATTACGCAAATTACAATTTTGCGGGTTTGATTTTTATTACACAATGTTATTCCTTCACCGTGGAAGTCAATCGTGAACATTTGTTGAGTACGTATTTCATTAGAAAAATTGGTACCCGCCTGCGGGATTCGAACACCGGTGCATCGCTTCATACGAATGCACCGGATGTCTTATCCTTTAGGCCACGACGACTTTGATTATTTAATATGACAGACTACCAGAGACCAGACCCAATAGAGGTAGGATGGGTAAATATAGCCAATAGGTAGTAACTATGGCTGTCTAGGAAGTGCCACTGGTTTTCTGTGATATTGTGCTGGATACAATACAGTTTAGAGTGTGATACACTACTTTTAATATAAATTAGATGGCATGTGTATTATGCTGTTTCCCTCTCTGACCCCTAAACTGATTAATAGAGTGGTTGCAGTAGGCATAATACCTCTTATTCACTGCTCTGTGCAAAGAGATGAGCTCTCTCAAATTCTCCACTACCTTCTATGCGATGGTTAACTGGAGTTTATATTAAGTAATGATGGTTAACTGGAGTTTATATTAAGTAATGATTAAATAAACAATAAACAGTCAAATTTAGTAGTCAACCTAATGTGTATGTGCATTGTGTGATATCTATTAATTATTTGTTATTAGAATTATCTCTATTATGGTACAATGTTGACAAATCCGTTTCAAAACTAATTTTGGTGTTTGAAAAAGTTTGTTTCCTACGTTTTGTTGTATTGTTTTTTCACTGTTACACTTTTTTGGTTAAGCCCCTCTTGGCTCGCTACCAAAACATGCACAAAAGCACTCTGTTTAAATAATCAAAAAATTTTCAGATAACAAAAGGCAGTACTCCGTCGTTGAAGCGTTTAGCTAAAGAAATACTAAGCATTGACATACAGCACGGAGAGCACAGCTCAGTGGAGGATGCCAGGGCAGCTATGCAACTTTACAGAACTGTGTCGAAGAAGTGGGAAGCCGGACTGAGCGACAGAAGAGGCTACAAAAAAATAAATGAATGACTTAAAATGATGATTCATTATTATATTAAATTTGTATTGAAAATGAAGTTTAGCTTGGTATTTCTATTCCATAAGATTAATCTGCAATCTGCTACAAAAAATTACAATCCTTTGGTATTAAACTTGGACTGGCAAAACATTTCTCTTTTTTTTCCCTGCCTATTTGATGGTCGATGGCCTTAGAGCTATTTCAGCTACGCCCTGACGAGCAGGTAAGCTCACGCACTCAACCTGAGAGAATTAGCTAATAGTAGCCCTAGCAAAAGCAGGGCTTTGCACAATACACCACCTTCTACCATCGGTTACGCGACCCATTGACAAGGTCTGGCGTGAAACTCAGTGAGCTAACATTTATGGAACGTTCAGTTACTCATACAAATTTTTTGCCTGTTCTTTTAAAATGACGACTTAACATTAACGCAATGGAGGTAAAGTTTATTAATGTTTGTTGGACATGTCCCTTCTGTTCGTACTTATTACTTTTGCAAAATAGCTTCAAGGCACCGAGGAAATGTTTACGGAGATGGTGGCTGTTCGTTGCCCCGTCGTCTGAGTCGATTTTGTGGTGGGTACAATAAGAGGGTTCTCGTGCCGCGCTGCTTTCTCGAATAAGCAATTTGGCGTTCTCTTAAAAAACACTAATGGATTCGAACCTTAATTCGTCGTGAAGTTCTACATTCCTCACATACCATGGTGCTCCGATAGCTATCCTGCAAAGGCAGGGTTGGTCATGTGGATATGGTCCGCGTAAGCAAACACACACTTGCAAAAGTCATGAGTATAACTCTATCCCAATTAACAATTATGGAGGATAGAACAAAAGAGTACCGTCTCCGTATATTAAAAAGTGTCTGCTGTAAAGAAGCCAGTTAAGGTGGCGCCACAGTAGCAAGTGGAAAGATTTAAAAAACAACGACTTAAACTAGATATGTACCACACTTCGGCTATGTTCCGATATGCGCTGCGAACACTGTAAAGTATAACTTTTTATTTATTTACTGCATAGGTGGGTGGATGAGCTCACAGCCCACTTGATTTTAAATCGTTACGCATGGGTAAGTCGTACCCACCAGTGCGGACTCACAAGAGGTCCTACCACCAGTAATTACGCAAATTATAATTTTGCGGGTTTGATATCTATTACACGAGGTTATTCCCTCACCGCGGAAGTCAATAATGACGTCAATTTAATATACCGCGAAGCCACTCCTTTATAGTTAGGTAGAATAACATAGCTTTCACTGCAATCCTGAATGCTTCACTCTGTTTAAAACTGATATATTCATACTATTACCATTTCCTACATTAGCGCTATTTCGATAAGAGAAAAATAACTTGCTACTTATAGGTGGACATTTTAACTTGTCCCCTTTATAACATAGTAGGTACTCTTGCTCATGCATACTCTTGTTTTAACTATTCAACTGATGAAAAGCTAATTCTATCCTTCATGCTAACAATGTAAGTTTTAATAGTAGAATTTTTATTTTTGTTATACAAATGGTAGTCTCTAAAAACATAAAATCATCAACTGATATTACATAACTGAAAGAGTGCAAAGATTTATAATACATTTTAATTCATCGGTAGTAGTAATTAGATTATTAAATTGTTAAAAGGTAAAAAAAATATTCATTAAATTAATTAAAACGTTGTTGATTGACTGGAATGCATAGAAAGCTGTGATCTTCTACCAAAAATATCAATTTTTATAAAGTTTCGATGCTTATAATTTTTTATCGAAACATTTCATATTGCTATACTTGACGAGTACATAAAGTACAGAGAATATTGTATGTAATATTTTGAATATTTTTATGTAACGTAAATCAATATATACCATAGTACATTAACGCCAAACTACAAACATAGCAACATACAAACGGGTAAGTACCCAGAAAAAGGGTTACTAGTTTTAAAATATATCACCATTATAGTAGCATTTGAATTAAACTTCTGATCCATTTGAAATAATTTGAATCATTTGTTTCTCTGTCTAAATTAAAGATCACCGTCTCAGATACTTTTCGAATTGTTTTTCTGATACTGTTTTTATTTTTGTTGATTGCTTTTAAGTATTTCATGATATTTTCGTAGAAATTTTCATAGGCAATCAAAATAAATAAACCGTTTCCAGATAAAAACATACTCATTAAATTATAAATAAATTCTTACCGTACTGAAAGAAAAGAAGAAATAGAAATAAATGAGTTTTGATTTTGAATTTATACCACGTTCTGCAAATTATCTGTTAATACAAAGACAAAAAGGGATTTTATATTCGTCCTATTTGGGGTTTGTTACTTTAAATACTTTACTTTCTACTTTATTTTTAAGTTCCAAGTTTTGTTTAGTTAGCAAGTTGCAATAACATTGATTTGCGAATAGGTATTTTCGCATTAGGAAACTTTTTATAGTTGTTAGTTGGTCTTAAATGCTTTGTCTGGATTTTTCTTAGGGAGTACAGTAAATTGTTTTATTCAGAAGAATATAAAATAGAGATTTTATAATTATGGCCGATGCTGTATCCATTGACTGCAAATCGATCGGTGTGGAATCCTCTGAAGGTATCAGAAATTACCCCGCGTCTGTGGCTATCGTAAACGAGGACAAGATATGCGTTTATAACGCTGTCATTAACCCAAGAAACTTACAGGTATGCATAAAACTTATTTTTTATCTGACATGAACAATTTAGCTCACTAACCATCTTATATTAAGCAGAGATCAAAACATCTACGGTGTTAATGCTGTTGTCAGCCACCTCCTTAAGTGAGTAGCAGCTGGGTTGTGCCCCAGGGCATTCTGAAGCTAGTGAGCAATGCTGACCACTTAAAATCAGCTGGGTTCTAGACTTGTAAGACTGCAGGTGCCCTTATAGCATTGAAAAAACATTTTGAGATACTAAGCCATAAAAAAACATCTTGAGATATTAAATCATGATCACAGCAGCTTCTGTGTGTGTGTGTAAACTATCTTGCTTCATTGGAATACTGTATTGATTTTACTTTACATCAGAAGTAGGCAGGAAAGAAAAAATTTGCAAATTACATCATCTATCATTCTGTGATCATTCTATCATGACAGCTTAGGCAGCTTCTTATATAAGTGTAAAGAACCAAAATTATTATTATATTGTTTTTTTTTTCTTTCTTGATTAATGGCAAATTATATTGTTCATATTTGTATATTCTTTTTTTTTTTTTTTTATTGCTTAGATGTGTGGACGAGCTCACAGCCCACCTGGTGTTAAGTGGTTACTGGAGCCCATAGACATCTACAACGTAAATGCGCCACACACCTTGAGATATAGTTCTAAGGTCTCAGTATAGTCACAACGGCTGCCCCACCCTTCAAACCGAAACGCATTACTGCTTCACGGCAGAAATAGGCGGGGCAGTGGTACCTACCCGTGCGGACTCACAAGAGGTCCTACCACCAGTAATAAATTCATGACATTATTTGTGTATTGTTGTGTATAATATATATGTTTGACCCTGTGTGTATCTATATAATTCAATTACACTACTATATAATTCAATTATCTATATAATTCAGTACACCACGTGTTATTTGTTTCCAAACGATTCTGGTCCATGTTATGGTTGTCTGGAAGAGATTGCTCTGAGCGATAAGACTGCTAATTTTACTTTTTGTATTTTATGTTGTTTATTAAGTGTACATTAAAGAATACTCTCTCTCTCTCTCTCTCTCATCACTGTGATAAATTGGTCAAAAATGTCTTTGTTGAATAGTGCTACATATATTACTTATTAGATTTCAGATTACCGCACACGTTTTCATGGTATACAGGCTCAGGATCTGTCAAGAGGCTTACACATCAAAGTGGTTCGTCAAGCTGTGAGTCGGATATTAAAAAATTGTCTCTTAGTAGGCTATGATGTTTCGAGAAGCTTGAGGCTATTGGGTCTGGGGCACCCAGAAGATAATATAAGAGATGTTTCCACGTATCATCTTTATACAAGGGTAGGTATTATTAATAGTACATTTCTAAAATTTTACTCATGTTGCTCTAAGTTTCGACAACGTTTTTATGACCAAAAATATCTTTATAAAATGTACATATTAACATAAATTAAACTTGAGACAAGCTTTTACATCATGTAAAATGTGCAATCATTGATTTAATTTGACCACACTATAATTTTTAAATTTTTTTCTTCAAGAATTAAAACTGATGTTTGTTTCGGTGATGATTCAAGAAGACAAAACTAGAAGAAATATATATTTTTATAAATCAGAAGTGAGGTAGATTTAAAAAAATAAGATATTACACAGAGATATCCTACATATATTTTTGTCGGCGAATAGGACTCTGATAACTAAATAAAGGATAACATATTGTAGACAGCAAATATTAAAGTAACCGGTCACATAGGGCAGTACAGAAAGAGTTCCGTGCAACCACCACTATAGGGTCAGTTGTAATTACGAATCGTAAGGCCCAGTGAGGGCTCGTTATTATAGTGTAGTGCTGATGAGGGAGCCTGGACCCTAATTATATATATATATATCGAGGGGTGAAAGGCTATTTGGCTTAAGCGACATTTATCTTTGTAATTAAAGGAGCGTTTTATTTCGTATTCTAATCAATTAGTCAAAATCTCAATTAGGTTTACTCTATTCAAATAGCTAAAGAAGTTTTTTTTGTAATGATATTTTTCCCAAACTTTAAACTTTAAATATCTCCTGTAAGCCAGTAAAAATGTCGCTTAAACCAAATAGTCTCTCACCTGTCGATATATTTAAACACTAGCGGCCCGCTCCGGCTCCGCTCGGGTCTTGAACAAAAATTTCAACGATATTTGATGTTGTTTTATTTTTTAAAATAAAAGAACACTTATTGCGGCATAACTATAATAGTTAGACATATGCTGTCGCGACACTTTTTGTAAATAATAATGTGTTCTACAAAGTCGTAATACATTATTTTATTCTATCATCAATAGTTTTCGCGGGGCACGCGATGTAAAGAATATTTTAGGTAATTTTTTTACACCTTGGGTTACAATATTGGAGTTTTAGTAAGGATCACTAAGATTTTCAAAAAATTTTATAGCCATGTATGTCATTCGGGAATAGTATAGCTTGCAAACAGTGAAATATTTTTTCAAATCGGTTCAGTAGTTTCGGAGCCTATTCAATACAAACAATCAAAGAAATCTTTCCTCTTTATAATCTAATATATAAAATTCTCGTGTCACAATGTTCGTTCCCATACTCCTCCGAAACCGCTTGACCGAATCTCATGAAATTTTTTATGCATATTCAGTAAGCCTGAGAATCGGCTACTATCTATTTTTCATACCCCTAAGTGATTAGGGTTGTCCACCCCTAACTTTTTTTTTTTTATTGGGCCTTTTTTTTTGTTATAATGAGGTATTATGTGGTTGAACGAGGTTTTGTTATTTTTATCATATATTCCCTCATCGTTCACAGCACTACATACCTCTTTCACTTACAATAAGTTAGTTTTTTTTTCTACACTAGAAATTCCCTAGAAATCTTATATATGGCAAAACAATGTTTGCCGGGTCAGCTAGTATTAGTATAGATATAGATGAGTCGACTATTATCAAAGCCGGCAGTGTGACTTTTGGACAATTATTGGTAAATCAGAAAAACGAATTATTGACTTTGTATTCCATTGGTAGTCACAAAACTCTTCTGAACGACACCTTAGATAAATAACAGGTTAAGTATTAACCTTTATTTAATGCAGGTTTTGAACCGTATTCTTTGAAGGAGACGATTATATTCAAATCAATNATTGACTTTGTATTCCATTGGTAGTCACAAAACTCTTCTGAACGACACCTTAGATAAATAACAGGTTAAGTATTAACCTTTATTTAATGCAGGTTTTGAACCGTATTCTTTGAAGGAGACGATTATATTCAAATCAATCTGTATTGACATATCAATAACATTTTTTTGTCCAAATGCACAGATTGCCACCTTTGATAATAGACGACTCAAATAAATCTGTGTCAACGAAGTCTGTCGTAGTGCTAAATAGCCTGACCATAGACAACGACGTAAACGCCGCCATTTTGAGACACGAGTTCTAATCAGTTCAATTAATAGCACAACGGTCGTCTCACCCTTCAAACAGGATTTTTTATTGCTTAGATGGGTGGACGAGCTCACAGCCCACCTGATATTAAGTGGTTACTGGAGCCTATAGACATCTACAACGTAAATGCGCCACCCACCTTGAGATATAAGTTCTAAGGTCTCAGTATAGTTACAACGGCTTGTCCCACCCTTCAAACCGAAACGCATTACTGCTTCACGGCAGAAATAGGCGGGGCGGTGGTACCTACCCGTGCGGACTCACAAGAGGTCTTGCCACCAGTAATTACGCAAATTATAATTTTGCGGGTTTGATTTTTATTGCACGATGTTATTCCTTCACCGTGGAAGTCAATCGTGAACAATTGTCAAGAACGTATTTCATTAGAAAAATTGGTACCCGCCTGCGGGATTCGAACACCGGTGCATCGCTAGATCCGAATGCACCGGACGTCTTATCCTTTAGGCCACGACGACTACTTTTTTTAATGGGATTTTTTGGCCTGGTAACTAAGACCTTTAAGTCATGTCTTATTTTAATTTATTTTCTTATTTTTATGAAAAATTAGAATATGGAGTGAAATGAAATAAAATGAGATGACATGGGATGAGATGAAATATAATCTCAGTAAAATGGTGGTCATTTGCTGAAATTTTTTCACTGGACTTTTTGGAGGATCCCGAGAAGTTACGTCCAGCGGCTTTGTTTCATTTTCCCACATTTGTGCACTTTCACAGATATTAAACAGTTATTAATCAGTGTTATTACACATTTAAACCTGAAGAAACACTAAATAGACCAAAATAAAACAAATCACACAACTACACTCCTCGCGTTCCCGCCAAATAGTCCGGAACGCATTACTGTTTCACGGCAAAAACATACCCACAAATTTAGTTTTAAAATAATACACATTTATTTTATATTGCAGTACAAAAAGTACAATCCAACGCTTAGACAGTTGACGAGAAGTTACTTGTCACGTGGCTTGGAGGCCCCACGTACTGCTGTGAAGGATGCCACCGCTGCGATGGATTTGTATTTAAAGGTTGCTGAGTTCTGGGAGGAAGAATTAGTAAATGAGACTGATAGTTCAGAGTGTGACGAAGATAGTTATTATACTGATTGAGAACACATAACTAACGTGACCATTTATATTTTTACTCAAAACGGGACTTTGTTTTATTTGGGTCTATTGACAGGTAGGTACATAATGAAAAAAAAACACGTGTGGGACTCGGGGACTGCCGCGGTAAAGCTATTGCATAGTATTTTTTGTCAACTTATGCAATTATAATTAGACAATAATAATAATTTAATATTAAAATAATAACAATAAAATAAGACCACGCTATATTTAAAAACATTAACAAAAACAAAACATTAACTGTCCCCTTCACACTTATAAGCTATACCGCGCGCGAGAGAGATGGGCAGACTTTTCCTGATGCGCATGCAGTGCGACGTCACGCCGCGCGCTTATTCACAAACACTACACAAGCGCAACGTGTGAATGTGTTGAACGCGAGCTACACGGTAGGCGAAGTGGGGCGTGTTAGGTTTCATTTTCGTTACGGAATATCTTGATTCGTTCGCCGCGCTCAAAGCCCGCGATAAAAGCTATGCAATAGCTTAAACCAATACTTTTTTAAGGTTATTATTCGGAAAAGTTAGCTTGAAAGCTACGAATTAAAGAACATAATATATATTATTATGTACTCAAGATGTTTAGTTATATTTATATTTATTAGAGGAACAAATTTGCTTTAATATAGCTTATCGCGCTCGCGTTCCGCCGAAAACGGGACAATTTTGCGTTCCAGAGTTCATTTCGGGGACACCGGAACTCGTAATTATAAAAAGGGACAGTCCCGCTCAAAACGGAACGTCTGGTCACGTTAGATATAACCCAACTTTACATATTAACCGCTAACCTCAAGCAATTTTTTTTAATTATTGAATTTCAATTAAAAAAAGATGTGTGGTGTCGTGGGACACCGGATAGGAACGAAGTTCCTTATTATAAAAATATAAATTTGAAGTTCTATTCGAGGTATAAAGAAAATAAAACTGGAGGTTTCGCAACAACCCACGGTCAATCGGTAACGTGCGAACTTATTGTGGTACGCTTCATTCACGGTTGTTTGCATAAGAGTTAGTGTATTGCGCAAACGAACGCTCTGAGGTCGTAGTCAATGAATGAATAAAAAATATGTAATTTTTTGTACGTTATTACAAAATTAAGTCGCATACTGTGTGCATTACCAATTTATACGTTATTACAAAGTTAAGTCCCACACTGTGTACATTATTTTATTATCTTAAATATATAAAAATGAATTACTGTTCGCTAGTCTCGCTAAAACTCGAGAACGGCTGGACCGATTTGGCTAGTTTTGCTCTTGAATTACTTGTGAAAGTCCAGAGAAGGTTTAAAAGGTTTAAAAAATATGAAAAAGCTCGGAATAAAAAATAAAAATAACAATTTTGTTTTTCTTTTGATGTGTCGCCCGTCGGACGGATTCCTTTTGTTTGTTTAAAGTTTATTTTATACAAAAGCTTAGGTCTTTTACTTATCGATTGAGGCACTACGAAGTTTGCCAGGTCAGCAAGTTACTAATAAAAATCTTACGTTACGGACGTTTTTTCCCGGCTAGGGTACCCCTCCGCCGATTCCCATAAGGAACTTCGTTCCAATAAAAACATCGAATTGTTGATGCTAATATTAAATAAAACGGACTATTAATTACAAAGATGAATGTTGCGTATTAAACGAAATGTCGCTTAAATTAAATAGCCTTTTGTAAAGCAGCGTTCCGTTTCGCGGGGCAACAGTAGCCAAAGGGATTGTGACTCAGGTCCGTGCCGCGACGACCCACCCCGCGCTACCCATCTATTGAACCATTTGCACCCCCAATTAGTGCGCGCCAGAGTTTGAAGCGGCAAACATGCGTCCCTGGCCGATACCGGAACTGACAACCCGAGAGTCTCATGCCAGTCGGGCACCCAACATTAAACTTTCACTCCTCGATATGTATGTCATTTTATATTCACTGTTCGCCAGTCTTGCACTACCAGGAACTGTAAAATATTCCAAAAAATAAATAAATTAATTACAATATTATTTAAACACAAGACTAAGCCGTGAGAGTAAATTATGATTGTCTCCAAAGCGCGCGAAACCAGATGACCGCCTTTGTTATAGTACCGATAATGAAACCTTTAATACGTATTTTTTTGAAACACCCTATGGTATATGTGCCATAGGCAGACCCTTCAAACAGATGAATAGAACTCACACATTCTTCCGTCCCCATATGTATACTTTTCTGGCAAATGTGTAACGAACATAAAATTTTGAAATTTCTGTAACTCGTCCTAAATGGCAAATCTTGGTAATTTGGTAAGAAACGTAACTATTCTAGGAGCTTTGACGATTTGTATCCATGTTTTTATATTGATTATAAAGAGAATTATTATGTACTACCTAGGTACTACCATATATTATAATATTACTATTGTTATAAGAATTATAATGAATGTTAAGTTTAATATTTGATTTTTAAGATTAAACTGTGACTGAAAATTGTAATATGGTGCATTTTCTAAAATAAATACTTATTGTAAATTGGCTTTCTTTTATTATTAACTATGTAGGTACAAAGAAGAGGCCGGAGCAAACATTATAGAAAAAAATTGAAAACTTTCAAGCGAGTGTGGTAGACTATTATCCCGCGCTAAATAGTTGATAAATAGTAACAAAGTTACTGGAAATTCAATTTTTTTTTCAATTTCAAAGTTACTTCTATAATGGAAAATAAATATTTGTTCACGGTCTATATTTCACCTTCAGTTGAAATTTCGTCACCTGGGAAACCAAACCTTAGTGCCTATAGAATCGAATACTACATACCCCTAAAGTGTTTGTTATATGAGTCGCCTATTATCAAAGCCGGCAGTGTGACTTTTGGACAATTATTGGTAAATCAGAAAAACGAATTATTGACTTTGTATTCCATTGGTAGTCACAAAACTCTTCTGAACGACACCTTAGATAAATAACAGGTTAAGTATTAACCTTTATTTAATGCAGGTTTTGAACCGTATTCTTTGAAGGAGACGATTATATTCAAATCAATNATTGACTTTGTATTCCATTGGTAGTCACAAAACTCTTCTGAACGACACCTTAGATAAATAACAGGTTAAGTATTAACCTTTATTTAATGCAGGTTTTGAACCGTATTCTTTGAAGGAGACGATTATATTCAAATCAATCTGTATTGACATATCAATAACATTTTTTTGTCCAAATGCACAGATTGCCACCTTTGATAATAGACGACTCATATAAGCACATAAAAAAAGTTCTGTGACTAATTCTGTGCTTAAAGACCTCTGGTAAGATCTGAGGCTCATGAAAGTCGACATCATTGCACAAAGCGCTTCAACAAACAGACTTTAAATGTGTTTTTATTTATCGATAGTATTTTTACTGGAACAGATGCATAGGTACTACGAGGCTTTAAAATAAATTTTATGTATCTCATTTTGGCGGGCTTCGTCTCTCCCACAGACTATAGTCAACGTTGCGATGCAAAGGGCGCTGCACAGTAATGCCTTAATATTTACTTACAAAATTTTCACTGTTCTACAAACTTAACATTGTACAACAAACAATTCTAGAAGCCGTTTGAATTGAAACGGTTTGCTTTTGGCAGCGACTTAGCTCTGCCACTGGCCTTGCTGACATCCATGAGCGACGGTAGGTAATCACTCACAATCGAGTGGGTCGTATGCTCGTTTGCCTACAAGGACAATAAAAAAAATAAAGAGGTAATAAAAACAAATAATCATAAACGTTATTTAATCAACATCTTTATTATAAATACTTAAAACAATAAAATTCATTTAAATAATAAAAAAAGGACTACGAAAAAAAAGAATATAGCGACAGTGAACTAATCTCTAGTTCTACAAGGTGACTTGAACGTTGACTGATGCAAAATCTACTCTCATTAAGCACGCAATGTATGACAAAAAATGTGCGCGTCAGTACCAACTTGCGACTCGACTTTACTCTTTAAGCGCCATTCTTATTGAGTATGCAGTAGACAAAGGGAGTAAATAAACGCATCTCTTATAATACTGAAAGCATGTATGTATACACTTTTATTCATATTAAATCAACAAAATATATAAATTTATCATTTTACATAAAACAATACATGTGCTGCCATCTGTTGTCAGTTTTCTACATTACGAAAAGTTATTTACTTTCGGAATAATATTACTATTATATGCTTAAATAGCACCAATTAATTAATTAAATTAAAATTAACACGATAGACTTTAAGACAACTATTTTCAACACTATGCTTTAGGTGATCTATTATTAAATCGCTGGTATTTAAATGAATGTCCAATTTCGATTTAAAAACTCAATATCGACGCTTGAAAGGCAAACTTGACTAAGCGACAATGCGTGAACTTTACAGTAGACTAATTTAAAGTTGAAATACCTGAAAAAAAAAATATTTTAACGAATCTAGCTGTAGGATTGAAATGATTTTAAAAGACCTAGAATATTTTTTTTGCGCATCGAATATGGTTATTGCCTATCATTTATGTACAAAGCAGTTATAGTTGCTTAGTCACGTTTGCATTTCAAGTGTGGATATGTATTAAAGAAAGAAATGTGTCGAGTGGACATTTCATTAAACTACACTAGATGAGGCGATATAACACAATTCGATTGAAAGAGAAAGAAAGTTTTTTTTATCAATTCTCAATTTAACTGCCCAACAAATTTTAGTTACTGGACCTTTTAAAATAGGGCTGTCCAGAGAAAGTCCCGCGGGACGCATGCTAATGGCCGTTTTCCAATTACAGCACAAGAGCGCATTATGCGGCATAATGCTCAACTAAGCTTCAGCATAATTCGGCATTGTGCGTCACTGAGTCGCATTATGCTCTGTAATTGGAAAACTACCATATTATGCCGCATAATGCGCTCTTGTGCTGTAATTGGAAAACGGCCTTTAACAACAAAATAGTATTGGATATAAATTGTTTGGTTACTAATAGAATTCTTTGTCAAAACATATAATCAATATTTGGTATAATTTATCTTTATTCTTGTAGCATTCTATGCCCATGACATCATTTTAAAAGTGGAGCTATCTATTACTAATATGTTTTTTTGAAAATATTGTCGTCTGGAAAGTATTTTTAGCTTTTATATTAAAATTAATAAGCCCGCAAAGGTATTTATTTTGGACAGCCCTACTTTAAAAGAACTCGATTCTTAATGAGTGTAAATGATTAATGATTATTAACTCTAAAAATTCAAAACAGCTGCTGCACGACCTCGCGTGACCTCCGAAGTTGTCCGTTGTACATTGCTGCCTCATCCTAAAACGTGAACCGACTGAAACTTATTTGTACACGGCCAAGTGCACACGAATCGCGCTTCGTTTTCGTTCTGATAGTAATTTTATAGTTTAATTGTCTTCGAAGCGTCTGATTGCAATAATACGACGATGCAATCATTTTATAACTTCACTATAATAACTTGAACCGGTATCGACAGGATAACATGAAGAAATTAATCGTTAGTTCGGTTCGCTGTTTGTGTGTGTGTGTGTGTGTGGGTGTGTGTGTGTGTGTGTGTGTGTGTGTGTGTGTGTGTGTGTGTGTTTTGTGTGTGTGTGTGTGTGTGTGTGTGTGTGTTTTGTGTATGTGTGTTTTGTGTGTGTGTTTTGGGTACATACCCATTCCGATATTCTTACTACAGCAAAACACACACATGTGTGTTTTGTGTATGCGTGTATATTGTGTGTGTGTGTATGTGTGTTTTGTGTATGCGTGTATATTGTGTGTGTGTGTATGTGTGTTTTGTGCATGTGTGTGTTTTGGGTATGTGTGTGTTTTGTGCATGTGTGTGTTTTGTGTCTCTGTTGTGTTTTGTGTATGGTGTGTTTTGTGTATGTGCGTGTTTTGTGTCTCGGTTGTGTTTTGGGTATGTGTGTGTTTTTTTAAGCTACTAGTAATTTAAAGCCTTCGTATTGTGTGGACGACTCCCATAGCTGCCGCGTCCGCCTGCGCCTGCCCGTTACAGGAGACTACCTACTATTGTACTATTGTTTCCCTCCGCAGTCCTGTCAGGCGACTACGCCGCGCAGCGCTACATCCTTAAATGACGTAGTCCCGAATCAAAAAGCTAATTAACAAATAATAATAAGTACGTTGTTTTTTTTTTTTTGGTTAATACTTTTTTTCGGCTATACGACAAGACGCACGAATCCGCGTCACATTCGATGGTAAGCGAACATTTCATCGTCACGTAATGATCGAACGTTACGCGAAAGCTTTTTTTAAATTTGTATCGGCAGAAACAACCGACACGGAAGGCGATAAAGAATAATTTTACCGAAAATTTCTGCCGTTTTTTTTGTCTTTTTGAACGCGGATACCGCGACGCTTTCAAAGCGTGTAGTCATCGTTATAATTCGCGCTGGGTTCCATAAAATTAAATTAAAATTAATATTTCTCAAAAAAAAAATAAGGTATGTATGTACATATATATATATATAAATATCTATTTCTCGTAATCACATTAGAAGCGTAGGATCTTCAAGTCCAGTGTAAATTGTCAGAGATCGACTACAGCGCCATCTGCGGTCGGGGCCGCGATGCTGCTACGCGTAATATACAACGCATTCACTTCGAACCCGGTCACCGTCCTCGCCGAACCCGTCGCTTGCGACGAAGGGCTCGACGAGTGAATTAATCCACAGACACAGCCCACTGAGTTTCTCGCCGGATCTTCTCAGTGGGTCGCGTTTTCGATCCGGTGATAGATTCTGCGAAGCACGGCTCTTGCTAGGGCTCGTGTTAGCAACACTCCCAGTTTGAACCCCGTGAGCTCACCTACTAGCTCAGAGAATCTTGAATAGTCCCTTGAGGTTACTAGAATAGGTAGGAAAAAAAACCTTTGAAGTTCAAGAGTAATTTTACAGTTATCACTAACCCATAGAGGGGGAAAAGGGGAGTTGGGAGGGATTCCCTGCACCGATACAAGATTCCTCAAATCTCACTTCCTACTCAATCTCATTAACGATATCGTATCTATGGATCACATTGGCAGTGAGCATCTATTGATAGTAATAAACAAATAAAGAGTCATACAACGTGGTCTGGTCCAAACTAATTAAAGTCCCTCGCGCCGGTAGGACCGATATACTTGGTATACGTGAGAATCAAACTCACGACTCTCGGCTCAGTAGTCAGGGAAGCAAACTACAGCGCCGTCGGGTTCCGCGTTTAAAAACCGCATAACGAAAAAAAAAATCTTTAATACTTAACATTTAATCATTATTGTCGATCGATTTTTTTTTGTAATTAAAAACCAATTCGCGTACTGTTAATTTTAATTTTTATTGCTAAGATTGGTGTTAATTGGTCGCCGATAGACATCGTCAACGTCATAGACCATGTCAATGCCAACGTCCGTCTTGAGACACGAGTTCTAAGTCTCAGTTTCGTCAGTACAACGGCTGCCCCTCGTCCTCGCCAATAGACATTATCGATTATCACAAGCGAATCGGATACTATACTTTATAATACTGTTAAACCTCCTACAACGCGGATTTTACAACGCGGTTCCGCTATAACACGAATAGAAAATATCCCGAAACCTTCTTATAACACGGCAACGTCTACAACACGATAACGAGATTTTTGTTCAAAAATTATTTAGAAAACGACATTATGTACTATGAACACACTATATATGGGGGAATAACTGAAAATTTACTGATTATTTTTTTATGTATAACTAGCGACCCGCCCTCGCTTCGCTTCGGAAACTGTAATTTATTATTGATTTCACCACTATTTTATGGATGTTATTATACATATAAACCTTCCTCTTCAATCTCTCTATCTATTAAAAAAAACCGCATCAAAATCCGTTGCGTAGTTTTAAAGATTTAAGCATACATAGGGACAGACAGATATAGGGACATAGAAAGCGACTTTGTTTTATATTATGCAGTGATGAGTAGAAAATACATCCGGGCATAGTTGAGATTTTTAATTCAGAAAAAAAATACTCTGTATATTGTACTGGCTTCTAGTTTCTTCTAAGGCGGCTTCACACAACACGGGTCTTTGTGGGAACGGGATCTACCGCGTTATAGGAGGGTTACCTGTGTGCTTAGTGCGAGTTTTTTAACGTTCTCGATAGCGTAAAAGTTAACTCAAATTAGTATGGAGGTGAAACATTTGCCTACGTTTGCCGCTAGGGGCGCTGTTCCAACTGCATACAAATTTCGTTCAAAAACTCTCACTAAGCACACTGTATAATATTGGATTAGTGCTCCTGGACTATAATTAAGAGTTCAATTGAAATCATCCGATCGTGACGTAAGAGATTAATTAAAATTAAAATCGACTTAGTTGACTAGTACGAATTCACGATACAGGGTGTTCGATAATAGACTGTACGTCATCTGAGCGATGTCGACCTACCGCGAGGTTGCTACCGCGACGACGCCTCAACGAAGCCGAGACAAGCGCGGAGCCTTAGGTCTGATGAATACTGTAGTACCCGCGGCCGCGGATAGATGGCGTTGTAATGATTTTTTATATTATTATTATTAACAACCATTTTAAGCGTAGTAATTGTATCTTCTTTGTTCGCGGCCTATCCTTGTCATGTTCGTGCACAGTTCTTGATCTCTGGAAAAGAATAAAATAAAAAATTCAACACATTTTTTTTAAATTAATTATTATTTTCAATATTATATTTTATATTTTTTTAATTATGCATAAAAATTTCATTAAATCAATAACAAAACATTACACACACTACCATGTATTTGACACACACACACACACACGCATATATACTCTTTGATTTATTATTAAAGTCTGTGGTCAAATTGAGAATAGATTAATATTGTTTGTCTTTAATATTATTTGTCTATAGTACAGCCTTGGCGAAATCTGTGATTAAAGAAGTTATAGAACCATAATAATGTTCAAACTTATAATTTAAATTAATAATTATGGTCGAATTTCGACTACCGGGCGACTATTAGAAGTATTAATACTGTGCAAGTTTTTAGTCTAATCAAAAGGTAAGCTTCCCGTGATCTCCACCTAAAGAGACCCGAAACACTTAGGGGGCAAGATCGGGGGGACCGATCGTTGTGAAGAGATAGAGATGCTTTCTTTCACACGCGGGCCACTTTTTATTTTATTTTGGGAAACGAGTTATGCCCGACTAAGACCCATCGATAAGTCCCTCCGGACTTCCGATCCTCACTCCAGACAGAACTCGCTTTAAGGTAGATAGGGGGACACCTAGCCACCTGGTTCTCAAAGTTTTGAAGATGGTCGCTTCCGAACGTCGCCAGCAGCAGACGACGCTCCTTAGCAAAGCATTTCCGAACGCAGCAAAGCTATATAAAGCAAGAGGTAGGTACGCGGGATATGTGTAATGTGACCTTTTTTTTCGTGTCGAAGCGGGATGCCTACGGAATTTCGTATATAAATAAATACATATATAGGACACGTCAGGGTAAAATGTGATATATAAAAAAAAATGGTTTAAAAAATGACTTGAAATAATTTTTTATGGTATCTTCTTACCCACCACTGACATCTAATTCTTACACCAAAACTTGCTCTTAAAATAATATTTATAAATAATTACGCAACAAAAAACTACTTTTCTACAGCAAAATTAGAGTTACTTTAGTATGTATTTCGTAATACAATAAGAATTTGGGATAAGTATGTATTCGGTAAGTTTCTAATAAAGACATGCACAACAGATAAATGAAAGCGGGACATTTTTGTTTTCGTTGGGGACAGCGGGACGTATGGTCACGTTAAGTATGTGTGACTGGACGGTCTCCAGAGGTCAGGAGCAGACCGCGGGCCCAGGATGCCGTCAGCTAACCTACCTTATGTCTCCCCAGCCGCCGTTCCCTTTGGTCAGCTTCTTATTGTGTTTGGCGCCCCCCGCGGTGACGGTCGCCGTCACGCTGCCCGGAAACAAATACGGCTTCGCGTTCTGAAGCAACTTCTGGACCTTGCTTATGACGGACGAAGCATTGCAGTTCGACTTCTTATGATGTATACCGCTGAAAATTAATATAATAAAAGAATATTGTTACGCCGGTAAGAGTAACGCCATCTATAGTTCAATAGTCGGACGAATATCGAAGGATCTAGTAGCACCTAGAACGCTCGAGAAGTACAACGCCATCTATTGTCTGATAGCGGAAACACAATACTAGAGATGTGTAGAATATTCTAGATAATTCTATGGATATAGTATCGGCTATAAAAGCGTTGCAAAGATGGCACGCAGTTAGTAATCGGAACTACTCGAAGCAAAACAGCGAACGGATCACCTGAAGCGAAGCGGAAGAAGCGAATTTGTAGTTTTAAAGTGTTTTGATTGTTCTAAGTGTTGAATACAGTTTTAATTTATACATCGGTGGAATTTTATTTATCCCGAACCCCGGCCCTTAACAATATTCTTTTTCATAAGCGGTTTCACAGGCGGTAACAAATAACTCACCATTCGCCGATGTGAAAGACCCTCGGCCCCTTGGACATGATCACCTTGAACTTCTCCTGGTTCTTTCTGTTCTGAGACAAGTGGAGCAACGAATAATCCCAATTGTAGTCGTCGTAAGCGCAAAACTGTTCCTGTATCTCCATTATGTTATGCCAAACGGACCTATTGAAACCGAACCCCATGTTGTGCATGCTAGAGTGCCAAGGAGTGATGTCAACCTGAAAGTTTAGACGGGTACCTAAATTTATCATCCCTAAAGACACTAAAGGACCGAACCTAGCGGCTCGTTGAGTTCGTTTGCTAGAAAGAGACCGCTCGTTTTCCGTAGAGCGTTATCTCTGTCGCACTAACACGTGCATTACCAAAACCCAGTAAGCGATTTACAATGCTAAAGCTTGCGATACTCTGCCGTTTTTTTTTGTTATTGATTTTCAATGATGCCTATTTATAACGAAATAGCCCACTTGCACTTTAAATTGAAAAATGCAGCAGAAATTATCGAACAACGTACAGTAAATAAATAGGCTTTGATATACAATTTTCGAAAATGCCCGCGTAATCTTTTTTTTGTTGTTTTGCGGCCATCTTTTTTTCTTATTGATTTGCGGCCATCTTTTTTTTGATTGATTTACTGTCTTTTTTTTATCGATTTGCTGCCATCTGTTTTTATTTTATTGATTTGCTGCCTTTTTTTAGATCTGTATGTGATTTATCCAATTCCGAAATCAAGAATATGTGTGTGACGTTATCACCCTCACTTACTGGCTTTTAGCACGTAACCCGTGAAGTGTTTCATTCACTAAACACCAATACACACTACCTATTTAAAATCATCAAATTTATCAAAGTCCTATAGAAAAATCTACCTTATTTTAAGGACAATTAGATTGAACATGCTATATATATTTACATGCTTTCATTAATCAAGCTATGATAATCCAATACCAAGCGAACTCCATGCAATTTATATTATATTGGTATTAACAGAAATTACGGGTTACGTTGAAGAGATTTTCAACAAATAAAATACAATAATAACGTTTGAACGGTCATGTATCATATGTATGTGTTTAATTGTTCGTTATAAGCTACTCGATCGATTTTGATATGTGTTTAGAACCATAGAAATGAACATATATATTTTATTTACGGCCCACCTGGTGTGTAATGGTCATCGAAGCTCACAGACATTAACGTCTAATACGGCCGCCCATCTTGAGCCATGAGTTCTAAGTCTCAATTTTTTACAGTATAACGGCTTCCCCGCCATTGATACCGATTATTTTACTGCTTCACGGCAGAAATAGGCGGGATGACATATACTAATTACATTTTGTTCACTCTTAACTACAATCCGTACACGGTCAACTTCCAAATCTTTTATTACATTTATTTATAAATTCAACACGCCAATTTTTAATCAAGTTGAACAGCCACGAAAGGGATCGATAGACACTTTAAGTAGCTCGAATGGAGGCCATTTCATTACGTGTGACGTCATTCGTGTTCAAAATAAAGCAGATCATACTAAATAATTCACGACTAACAAATGTTTTGTAAATAATCTCTTGTTATTTAGATGAAAGTTTGAACAAATGCATTTTGAAGATTTCTAGAAGTTTCCACGGTTTTTTAATATCTTCGCCATCATCCCTACGTATTTGAAGAAGAATAATTCGAGAGATGAAAGGCTACCTATGTGGTTTAAGCGACATTGCGTTTAACACGCGACATTTATCTTAGTAATTAAAGGTCCGTTTTATTTTGGTTCAGCATCAACAGTTCGATGTTTTTAATTGAACTTTTAAGCTTACCTACCCAGTTAAAATGGCCGAAGAACTTGTTTGTTATGATATTTTTACCAAATTTTAACCTGTAAATGGCGTGTAAAGTTACAAAAATGTCGATTAAACCAAATAGCAGCCTTTCGCCCCTCGATATATTACACATTAAATTATATGCATTCGTGTCCGTGTATTTACGCAAGTGAGAACCGGCAATGTATATTTATAGGTTGCACAGAGTACGTTTGCCTTAAAAAAATGACAAAACAAAGGCTGATCTGTGCAGTTAATTTAAAAAAGAAATAGATATATCTTTTAACCTCTCCGGTCTTATTAAGTATTAATTTATTAATTATTAATTCAGCTAAGTCATTACCATGCATTAACTATATACAGCGGTTACTATGTGACAACGTCTATGTTCTGATCACGAGTCATAGATAATAGAAGGCAAGCGCTAGTATTGTCTGTGATATTTGGCAGATGTCATCATATTTCGCGCCAAAATTATCTCAACATTTTGACCATAGCTTTACAAAGTATAAAGCTACATAATTTTCAATACGAGCCCTTGTCTTTTTGCTTCGAATCCTTCCATAATTATTGTAAGCGACGCTTTACAAGTTTCAACAGAATAGCTGTCAACCGTGCAATTTAATATATTTAAATGTAAAGACCTAATGTTTCTTGCGTTCGAGAATTAAAAAAATTATAAAACCAATAATAGAGATAAGCTTTACTAAAGCTTTTATTCGTGTCCACGAGTTGAGGGGAAGCCGCATAAAATGGAATTTAATTGATTTTGTATATTCATCGGTTGTCGCGTGACGAAGATACAATTAAATCTACTTTTACGGTTTAATCTCCCCTTTGCCAATTTCGTTTTATCAACACGTGTTCGTAAAATAGTTCTAATTAATTTATTTCATTAAATTAATAGCCATTTTTAATACGCTTTTATTAGCTTCATACGTATGTTAGTATGAAACGGAATCTTTGAAAATGATTTTGACCCCCTTCAAAACGTCGAATTAACTCGAAATTTGGCATACCTATTAAGCACCGATGACAATTCAATATTTTAAGCAGTTTGATCCGTTATCCTTACTAGGATAATCAGGATTAGGGATTTTTTGTTTTTCTGAGACCCGGAGTGTCTGCGTCAAGATCAAGAAGAGAAACTACCAGGCTATATATAAGTTTTACAATAAAATTACTTTTTCTTAAACTATTTATAATTAAAATTTTTTAAACCTTTATTTATTTTTCATTTTTTAGTTGAATTTTCTATAAAAGCGTATTTTTTTAGTTTTTTTAAACTTTTTTTTTTTTTTTTCAATAACAAAATTCGCTTTCATAGCATTGTGGTATTCATAAACAAATTTAGCAAAAAAGTAAACTGACTGAATGAGAATTTCATTAATGCAGTTCGATTAAAATACGTAATAACTCAAAAACCAGTGGTCGTATCTTGATAAAATTTAAATAGACCATATTCGCATACATAATATTATTATATAATCAGATTTCAAATTAAAAAAAAAGATTACCATCAAAATCGGTTCACCTACAAAAACACGCAACACAGTCGAATTGAGAGTATCATCCGTTTTTGAAGAAGGTTAAAAAAATATTATTTCCTTGAGTTACGTATGAATTAGTTCCGTGGAGTAAGAAGGAAACGACCAATAAAGACAAAAGGTTAATTGATAATTTAGAAAATCAGAAAAGTTCAATAAACGATAGAAGCGAATGAAAATCGTTGATTGATTTAAATTATCACTCTGATCAAGTACTCCTAGTTGAACCAGACTCGCTTTTACTGGCCGATCAAAGGATCTGACTTTGATCATTCGCTGGACGGTGGGAGGCTTAAGCGAAGAAAGGAAAGATCTTCCACCGAGCGGGTGATATTGCTCGGTAGTGTGATGTGGCGGGTAGCCATCATACAATACTAGATACTAGAGGTCCCGCAGTAGTCGAAATTAGATTAGTTTGTACACTATTATGATTGTTTTTATTCTTCTATAATCACAAATTTCGCCAAGGCTATACTATAAAAAATATTAATAAAGACAAACAATATTTAATCTATTCTCAATTTGACAACAGACGTCAAGTACAAAAGTTTGACAATAAATAGTATGCATGCGTGTGTGCGTCAAATACATGGTATGTAGTGTGTGTAATGTTTTCTTTATTGATTTAATGTATCTTTTATGCATTATTTTAAAAAAAAATATTAGCATTGTGCACTTCTTCTGTATATTCTCTATAAGTGTGGAAAATTTCATACTCCTCCGTCCGCGCAATTTACGTAAAAAGGGATACAAAGTTTTTGCTTCACGTATTAATTTATAGATTTGACAGATGCCCGAATCTCGCTTACGACGTTTTCAACATAAGCGTGTATATATAAAAGTTCCGAACAACAACATTCGGACCGTCGCTCTACCGAGCAAGAATGTTCTTGTTCGGAACTTGTTTAAACGGAAAAGCTTATGTTGAAAGTGTCGTAAGCGAGATTCAGGCATCTCTCAAGTATTGTATGATGGCTACCCGCCACAGGACTGATCTAGAGATTCTCTTAAAATTTCATAAATATCGGTCCAACCGTTTCAGAAACATTTGGTAACGTAACATACACACATCTCAACATTTCGATATCGAGGGATGAAAAGCATTTGGTTTAAGTGACATTTCGCTTAATACGCGACCTTAAATCTTTGTAATTAAGGGTGCGTTTTATTTGGCATCAGCATCAAGAGTTTGATGTTTTTAATTGATTTTCAATTAAGTTTACTTCATTGAAACAGTCGAAGAAGTTTTTTCGTTGTTATGATACTTTTTTCAAATTTTATACTTTAAATAGCTCTCCTGTAAAGTTGCAAAATGTTACTTAATTCAAAAAACCTTTTACCCCTCGATATGCATATATATACAGTTTTAGTTAGTTATCTAGATTTGTCACTACTCCATACAGTACGGCCGACTCATCATGAACAAATATATCTTAAAATAGCATCCTGTTGTGGATACAGGGTGTATATATATGTATTTTAAAATATATTTGCTTTTTGAAGTGAAACTTCTTTAGGCGCATTGAGAGTAAAACTTAACTCGCGACAGATTCGTTACGGCTAGAGGGAAAATATACAATTTAGGGCGAGCGAGAGTGAGAAAATAAACAGAGCGTCTCACCAACCTCGGCAACCTTCTCAAAACAACACAACGCAAAAGAAGTTTCACTTCTGTCACGTGCACCAAGTTGCAAGCGCATCTTTTTTTTTATTTCATCAATTTCTCATCGTTTCCGGGTCCGGTTTAAGAACACCCTATTAGTATAAGATAAACTAGGACCCATCCCAGTTACGGTAACCGGCTTTGTTACACCACCTTCATCTATATCAGGGGTGGCCAACCAATATATCCGGTCGAGTCGATAATGGCAAGACAAAAAATATAAATACACAGATACACACAGACTGCGCAACGTAATCACCAATTGCTGCGCGCATCATCTTCATCTTGTATCATTTCTTAATGACCATTACGTCACATTATTTATCCTCTTTTGTACACAATAGTTCTCTTTTATTATATAACTAGCTGACCCGACAGACTTCGTAGTGCCTCAATCGATAAATAAAAGACCTAAACTTTGGTATAAAATAAACTTGAAACAAGCAAAAGGAATCCAACGGAGGACACATCAAAGGGAAAACAAAATTGTTATTTTTATTCAATTCCGCGCATTTTCATATCTATCTAACATCCTATCATTTTAAACATTCTCTGGACTTCCACAAAAAATTCAAGACCAAAATTATCCAAATCGGTCCAGCCGTTCTCGAGTTTTAGCGAGACTAATGAACAACAATTAATTTTTATATATATAGATTTCAGGTTTATTTTAATCTTTTTAATAAAGAAATATATATACTACGTATTTATTTAACTACATTGTGTCATAAAATCTCAAGAAAGGTCATTGGTAGATCGCAGACTGTTTCGTCAGTAGACAGTAGATCTTGGTTCTAATCAAGTTAGCCACCCCTGATATATATGAAGCCCATATGCTTGTTATGCATGGTCTCGTCCCAGGTCTTAACTCGCACCACTAGCCAAATCGAACTAGACGCTGACGTTGTCACAAGCAAATGTACAAAATTCTAGCCAAGCTCAAGGACTCATCATTCATTATTTATATATTCGAAACCTTTTGCGTGTTCCCGTACAGGTTCGGGTAAACTTGGAAATTCCACTGTGTGTCCTGACGCTTCCTTCGCTCCTCGTTCGCCATCCGCACTTGCTGTATGTAGTTCAGTGTCATTTGTTTTTTACGCTACGATTACACAGAGGACACATCTATTATCACTGAATTTTTTTTTTAGACTTAATTCTAGAAACTTGTCACGACATCTAGATCTAGGAATTTTCACTTTAAAAATATTTTTAGGTTGACGTTTTTTTATTTGTCTAGCAATCGAAGTGGAACTTCTAGAACATCGGTCGGCGCTCCGTGTCCGGAGGGGGACATTTCAGGCGGAGGGGGACATTTCAGAAAAATCGTCACCTTCGCTAAATTAAACTTGAGGTTTTGAAACTTTTAGAACAACAAAACAATCTATCGAGGGTTGAGAGGGTATTTGGTTTTAGCGACATTTTTGCAACTTTGCAGGAGAGCCTTTTAAAGTTTAAAATTTGAAAAAGATATCATAACAAAAAAACTTCTTCAGCTATTCGAATGGAGTAAGCTTAATTGAAGTTCAATTAAAAAAATCGAACTGTTGATGCTGATACCAAATAAAACGCACCTTTAATTACACAAATAAAAAACGCATATTAAGGGAAATGTCGCTTAAGCCAAACAACCTGCTTTTACTGGTGGTAGGACCTCTTGTGAGTCCGCATGGGTAGGTACTACCACCCCGCCTATTTCTGTCGTGAAGCAGTAATGCGTTTCGGTTTGAAGGGTAGTGTAGCCGTTGTAACTATACTGAGACCTTAGAAATTATATCGATGTGTAGATGTGTGGACGATCTCACGGCTCACCTCGTGTTAAGTGGTTACTGGAGCCGATAGACGTCTACAACGTAAATGCCGCCACTCACCTTGAGATATACGTTCTAAGGTCTCAGTATAGTTACAACGGCTGCCCCGCCCTTCATACCGCTTCTGCTTCACGGCAGAAATGGGCAGGGTGGTGGTGGCTACCCGTGCGGACTCACAAGACTTCCTACCACCTTGCTCCGTCATTTTGACCATTACAAGGTTTTAGTAATTTTCTAATACGACCGCTTCTCTCTTTGTCTCGAATCCTCCCATAATTATTGAAGGCGATGCTTTAAAAGTTTCAACAGAATAACTCTTAACCGTGCAATTTAATATATATACATGTAAAGGACCTAATGTATTTTATGTTCGAGAATTAAAAAAAATATAAAACCGATAAATGAGAAAAATTTTACTAATGCCTTTATTCGTGTTCGGTTTGAGGGAAAACCGCATAAAATGAAATTTAATTTGATTTTATATATTTATCGGTTATCGTTAGATCAAAGATTTAATTAAAGCTACTTTTACGGTTTCATCTCGCCTTTACCGTTTTATTAATCACGTATTCGTAAAATATATTTAATTAATTTATTTAATTCAATTATTAGCCATTTTTATTCCGAAACTTAATGTCATCAAATTGTCACTGACATTACGAACGACAGTTTTTGTGGGCGCAAAAGATTAACTTTAAATTCTACTTAAAATCCAATTTGATTATTAAATCAATATTGTCTAAATGAATCTATTGATTAATATAGCATTAGACAAGTTGAAATTATTATTTTCAAAAGCGCACAACAAAACATTCCTGTTACCAAATTCACGTGTGTAACACACGAATAATTATTAATGAAACACAGACGGCTACATCTCATTAATTCATCATACATTTTAGTGACATTTCCAATCAATTGACAACAAGCAGTTATATCAATAAACAATCTAATGAGGATAGAAAAGATATCGATAAAATTTGAAGTTTTTTATGACCAATATTAAAAAAAAAACACTAATTTTTTTCTTTATTTCCCATTTAGAGGAACCGCGTTCACGGCCCAACTGGTAGTAAGTGGTGAGCGGAAGGTTAAGATTACCATTGACATTAACATTGTAAATTTCACGGTCCATCTTGACAAATTACTTAGAAATTTCAGTTCTATATAGTCCGAGGTTTGAAATATACAAAAAAAATTCTTCACGACCAAAAATTCGAAATTACTTTCACAGCGTATTGGACTCGGGAGATATCTGACGTTATCCGGACACTGGAGTCTAGTCTGCCTCAGAAGCTACACCAGGAGAGAGTTTTTTTTTTTTTTTTTTTTTTTTTTGATTGAATGTTTACTGGTGGCCCGAAGGCCTTTCCAGTTTCACCAGGACAGGTGGGCGAGCAAAGGCTCAGCCAAGAGGGGTGGGATTTGCTAACAACTGCCCGAGCGCCTCCGAAGGAGACCTAACAACTCAAGAGCAATAGTTTCGCGAATGAATCTACTACCGGATCGGAATCGCGACCCGCTGAGAAGATCCGGCGAGAAACTCAGCGGGCTGATGCATGGGTTAGGTTGCACGTCGACCTCTTTGTCGAGTTCGACGAGTACGGTTACCGGGGTCCCTAAGCCTGCCCCTAGTATTAGAGCTGAAGGCATCTAATGCAAAGGTTATTGGATCTGATGGATCCGTAAGAACGTGTCTAGGGCGTCGACGGTGACTGGCTCCTGCATGATCAGGATTCGGGGAGTAGTCAGCGGCGGCAACGATAAGGTGATTATCATGACGCATAGCCTTATCGAAGTATCGTTCCGACGCTGACTTCATGTATTTCCGAATTGATTCGAGGCCCAGGTCGTCGTGTAGGTCAACGTTCCTCACGAACCACGGAGCCCCGACAGCTAACCTGCAAAAGCGGGATTGTAG